AAGGATGTGTTGAAAGCCCAGCTCTGTCTGCTATTCTGCCACTCTTAACCTCCCCGTCACGCTAAATGGTCATTCAGGCATAAACAGCCTGCATTCAACCCATTTTCTAGGGCCAAGCCGAAATAATTCAATAACTACAGAAATTGAAGGACAAGTCATCCTTTCATCCCCTTGCCTGCAAGCTATCTGCTCCTCTATCTGAAAAAAAATCCCTTCACCACCTAGTTGCACCCACTGGGTCCTGAAATGGTCTTGTCTGCTGTCATTTCTGCAAGAGAGAATCCATCCCCCTTTGCTTCTGCCTGTGATGTAGCCCATGGCTCCAACCAATTGCCCTTCCATTCAGTGGCCCCAAATGATTGATGTCACAGACATGCCCGGGTCACTTGTGTACTAACAGAAGTGCTCCAGATGAGGCCGAAGCTTGTCTTCTCACCATGACCAGGCCATCACCAGATTAGATGGAGAAATGGGCACTGCGGTGCACAAGCGCAGCCTGGCCTCTCTAAGGGGAAGTAATTCCCTGACTCGGTGGCACGTGTCTAGCTGTGTAAGTAGAAAATGATCCTGTGGGCACACGCCCAACACAGGTACCTGTCAGTGTTGGCCAGGTGCTGGGACATGCTTTTGTCATGGCATGCATGTAAATATTGAGGTTTGGGAGTGTGGTGCGTATGCAGTGCGGATCAACTCAGATGTGTGTGCATCATCGCATTTTTTGTGTTTTTAGTGAGCAAGCTGTCTTTCCCTATATATTGATTTTCCGTTGTTGCTTGACGATGGCTAGGATAAACTTACCCTCTGGAGTGGAAATGGGTGCCCTGCATCTGTGTATGAATGTGTGTTACGTATGGCCGAGTACATGAATGAATGTGTGGCTGTGTATATATGTATATATGGACTTGTCTGTGCTTTAGCTGCACTCCTGTCCGGATGCAACCGTGCTTTCTGTTGCTGGCATATTTCGGGCAGCGGTGCCTGCACCCCCGACTTTGCCCCCGACTCGTATGCTCTGTGCCCTGCGTGTGAATGCACCTGGGGGTTGCCATTGCAGGGCCATGGTCTCTTCTGACCATAGGTTTGGAACTGTTGGGCCACGCATGGGAGGTGGAGCTGTTTTCTGATTCAGAGCAGAGCCAGGATGTGTGTCGTTGGGTGTGCGCAAACAGGGCTGGGGTTGCCTTCACCTGCGAGGCCGTGTCTGCAGTGTTTGATTCGTAGGTTTTGCCTCTCCCGTCCCACACTTGCCCCCCATCTCTAGCTTTTCCCTCCATTTCTGCCTGAAACACTCCTGCCGGCTTCTCTTCCTCCGAGTCTTCTCATCCACCACTTTGGTGGAGGAGCAGAAGCGTTTGCCATCCACACTCCGATTGTGTCCCATCTTGACCTTGTGTCCTCCCACACTCCCCTTCTTTCTGGAGGCCTTAAAGCAATTCCTAAAGCAGCCTACAGGGGTGCACTTTCGTACGCCAAGCAGTGTACAGTCTATTCTGTATTTGTAACTCTTGTAAATATTTTGTATATAGCCAGGAGGGCGCAGGCAAGGACTTCTATCTAGGGAGGCATGATTGGGAGTGTGTTTGCTCTTACGTTACCATGCTTGCAACTCTAATCAGCAGAAAAGGCAGGGTATTGATTCCTCATTGCCTTATACCAAATAATGAAATCTCCTTACAAAATAGTATTTGGCCCCTTCCACTCATGTTCCATGCATATCCAAATGTAGGACTGAGAAACCCCATACTGCCACAGTTGGTTCCGTCTTGGAGTGAAATCCCAGTGTGCAATTAATGAACGAGTGAAAGTTTCTCCTGCACAAGTGCCATTGAAATGAACACAGCCTTTTCTTGCTTTCAGTGGGACTTGTGCAGAACACCCTGCTTGATTGCACCTGTAGCATTTGTATATATAAATGTAGGTCTATCAGCTGTGTAAATAAACATGCACAGGGCCCCTATGCATACAAAGTGTAAACCCCCTGTGCACTTTGCATGACCTCATCACACATACCCCTCCCTCCCTCTCTTCCTCCCTCTCTTCCTCTCTTGCCCACTCACACACTCACAAACACACAAGCTGCTGTGCATAATCACCCCCCCAAATTGCAACCAGGAAGAAAAAGATAACAGCCACCTATTTTATAGCTTACTGGACTTCCTAAATAATTTCTCAAGTTGGTGTGATTCTCCATGAGGTTCCCAATGATGGGCAAAGTAGTCCTGCACTGTTGGAAACAGACATTTGTGGCTTCAGCTAAGCCTTCAGTGTTGGTTTTGTCTGCCCTATAGCCTTGGCCAAACTGACCCCCAGATTTACCCTCTCAGCTTACCAACTTTGTCCAACCACCTTTCAGTCTCTTCTTTAAGGAGAAGACACCCTTTGATTCCAGCCCTTGAGCTTCTAAAGCAAGGGAAGTGATCCACCGCCATGTTTTAAAGGCATGAAGCTTTTTGCTTCAGACACACACATACATGCACACGCTCTCTCATCACTTACGAGGCAGCAGTGCCCAGGCAAGGGACTGCATATGAATAAGCTATTTCAGAGCCTCACTACAGCTGGTACCCTCACAACACTCGGCATCACGTCAGATGTTCTCTGGAGTCAACCCGCACTTTCGACGGAGCGGGATTGAGTGACATCCGTGGTCGTGTGAATCGGCAGCCCTCAAACCATTCAGGTCATCCAGTTGTGCCCCAGAAAGGAGGAAAGAAGTGGGAGGACCATGCCGATTCCTGCACAGGGATTACTCAGGTTCTGAGATCGTGGCATCTTAGCCAAAGAAAAGCTTTCCAACCTGGGCATTTTCTTCTGCGCCAGCTATGGAGGTCAAACTCGGGGTGACCACATGTCCTCTCCTCTTTGTAGGGCCAACCCAGGTAGTTCTCATTGTGTCCCTTCTCTCCCTTCTCAGCCCTGCCCAAATGTAGGCCATGCCTCTGAAAGTAGCCCTTACCCATGTAATTTAAAAGCAGGGGGGGGGGCCTCTGGTGTTTGGGGTTTGTGCCAGGGATATATGCAAAGCACTCGCTCTAGGGAGAGCTGAAAAAGGAGGGTTGTGTCCCAGGATGCCCATAGCAGGCACTGTGAACCATCTTGCACTGACTGATGGGGCAGGAAAGGGGGTATGCATGCTGTAACTTTAAAAAGAGGGCAAGAGCTCAGGATGAAGCCCTCCCAGGAAGCCCTGCCACCTCAGGGGTCACTCCCACCATCATGCCAATGCTCTCAAATTCGCCTTGGCAGCCACAGTCCAAGACATGGAAAACAGCAAACAGACAAATGAATGCCCACCTCCTTGTGGGTAGCAAACCGCATCTCCACTGGGTCGGTAGCTGACCTATTTGGAGAAGCACAAGGCCTTTGCCAGCTGCAGCAGGAGGCCTTGTTCTTCAGGGGTACCACGTCCTATCATCCCTTCCTCCCTCCGCCATCACATGGGGCACTGCGACAGTTTGTGGGTAGGAGCTAGTTTTTCCTACGCCAGAGGCCTACTTGTGGGGTGGGGGAGCGGGAACCACTCTTTCTGCACCACTTTTCAGTATTCCTTTACCAAGTACATACCTCATATAGTTCCTGCAGATCGTACCCAACAGATCTCTTCTGCATCTCCCCCCCCACCCCGGCCAGCCTTCACTCTGCAAGAACGCCCGTGAGGTTACAGTTCTGGATCAAGATTACAAGGTCTGGGGAGGGAAGAAAGCTGTTCTCAAATACGTTGGTAAGAGATGGGAGTTTCCAATACGGGGGCGACCTCACAACCCCCTTAATACTATGCAGTGTGGTTTTTTCCCCCTCGCAGTCCAGAGCAGGGAAAGAAACTGTGAGCAGGGAGTTTGTGAATGTATGTTTGGGACACGGGGTTATCAGAAGGGGTGGCGGGTTGGGGGATCAGAGGGAGGGAAAAAAGCAGGTGGGGAAATGGTCTTCCTCCACCTCACCCTTTTCCCCTCTCCCCTCCCCTTTCTTCTTTCTTTCTTTGTGTCTGGGAAGCAGGAAGCTGCTGATGTAAAAATACGACAATCACAATTTGTCTGTGACGTGCGATTTTGAAAAAAAAAACCCTGAAAAGTCTGGGGTGGGGAAAAAAATAACCCTTTTTTGTGTTTTTGGTCAGGATTTTAAAGAAAGATATTTTTATGGTAATTGTCGCTGGTCTATTTTACTATATATTTATGTAATAAATATATGATTAAAAAAACAAACCTACCCTAAAAAAAGACAAAAAAAAAAAACAACCCTCACAGCCCCAACTGGCTTTTGGTGTCTCATTTCTGTTGTGTGGTCATGTGCTGAAGTCCCTTTCTTGGCCTACTGAATCAAGGCAGGAGCATCTTGGTTGAAAATCGTTTCCACGTGCAAGCACTCTGAAAAACCTTTGTTGTCGATGTTGTTCCCACTTCTTCTGGGAGCCCCTTTACTCATTAAAACCCCATGTCAAAGGTGCACAGAACCCTGCTTGCTCTTTCACACACCCACCCCGGTTTGAAGGAGGAAACTAGAACTTAAAGAGAAGATGCTGCTGAATAGACTCACTATAGAAAATTGGGCGGGTGCCTGAAGATAATCCCCAGAAGCAGGGAAAAGAGTGAGGTGAAGTAACATGCAGTGGGAATATTCCCCACACCATAGGTTTAAAACCAGATTTGAACAGAGGCAGCAGTAAGGCAAAGAAAACACTGTGCGCAGTACACCACGAGAAGTGAAATCTTCCTTGAGAAATGGTCTCCCTGCAGCCTTCCACACAGGCTTAGGACCCACAACGTGAGACAAAGTAGTCAACATTTAAGTCCCACTGGATCTAGGCAGAACGCATTTTCTCTAGGGCCAAGGCTGCCCGTGGTCCCTGGCCAGGCAAAGACACTTGTGGATCCAGTTTTAAACATTTGTGCCCTCTGAACAGGAGTGAAGGACAAGGTCAGGTTCAGTATCATTTTCCTACCTTACCTCCACATTGAGAAAGCATTTAAAGAGAACAACAACGCAGGAAGAAGACCACCTAGTCTTTTTGCTTTCAATATATTATTCCTGTGTGGCCGGTGCCACGGCAGGGAAGAATGCCGCTCTAGTCACACAACTCCCCATATACATACATCAATTTACAAGGATGGCCGTGCTGCTTGTCTCTGAGAGGATGGGGCCGCAGCTGCTATAGGCCAGTATAAATAGTTAGTTGAGTCCGGGCCCAGAGAACAAGTCTGGTTAGTGCAACAGTGCAGGGACGGGCAGGGCGGGTGGGCCAGTAGTCTGCATGCCTTCCTGCGCTTTACTGAGCATCGATGCGGAAGGAGAGCAGTTTCTCAGAGTGCATGTTGTTGAGGGTGCGCAGGTCAGGCAGCTTAAGCAACAGCTTGGTGAAGCGGGAAGTCTCCTGGGGGTGGTTCTTGAGGATCAGGGCCCGCAGGGCCCGGATGAGCGTCTCCTGCAGCTGTTCCACAGATGCTGGGTTCTCAATGCCAGAACGATCTGCAAAGAGCAGGAAAATCAATGCTGTGTAACAGCAGCACAAGGCGCCCAGGTCTCTGCTGTTCCCTACAATCCCAGCCTCCCACAAAGTCATAGATCTCCCAGTCCTAAGACCTGAATTCTAATTTCCAGAGTTCCATCGCTCCATGTAATATTTCACAGAATAGCGGGTCCCTGGCTCAGGGAGCTTCACTCAGTTCTCCCAATGGAAGAGACAGACAAAGGGTGGGGATGAGAAGAGGAGAGGTGCAATGATTGCAAGAACTGGGGGGAACTGCCATAACTAGGTATTTGCAGTTTGTAGCTGTTCAAGTGTGTGGATGGAGAGAAGCTTCGAGGGAAAGAAAAGGTTCTCAGGGTGAAGTGCCGATGATTAATCAGCTAACGGTGGTAAAACTGGAGGGCATACGAAGGCCAAAATTACAACTAGGAAATAGGACAATGGGGTGGTTTTGGAGAGGGTCAAAAAGTTGAAGAGTTTGGGCTCCCTGACTGAGATTCTCACTAGTCCATGCTGAGAGGACACGCACCTGCAGAGATCAGCACTACGGCTGTGAAGAGGCCCAGCTCCTCCTCAGAGAGTGCCAAGGAGCCAAGCTTCTCACTGAATTCGAACATGGATGTGAGCAGGTCACCCATGCCCATCCCCCACAGCTCCTCAAGGCTGTACTTGGTCCGGCTCATGAACGTCACTGTCTGCTCCTTGACATTGAAGAGGGAGGCGAATCGAACCATCAGTACCTGGAGAGAAGGCAGGGAAAGAGATGCCCATCAGAACCCAAGATGTGCTGTCACCACGGAACCCTGTCAAATGCCTTCTGTGTTAACTTCCAGCTGAAGGGGGTACGCATCAAATTAAGTTAGAACCATCATTCTGTTTTGGGATGACAATCCAGTCTAGAAAGGACTATCCATGTCCCTTCCCCACCCAGACATGAAGACAAGAGGCTGTACCTACAGATACAGCACCCACTGTGCAAGCTTGGGGGACAGCTTTTTCCAAGTGGGATATTGCACAGAGTGATGCTTAGTTTAGTCCCTTACTGAATAACTAGACTTCTGCATATCTAGCACAACACAATCTGCTTGGGGAGATTTCATTGGCGTTTCAAATCCCACTTATCTAGGTAAAACACACCTTAACAGGGAAAGTATTTAAGATAGTAATAAAATGAGTAGCAGAATTTTAAAAAGTAAACACAGAACTGATAGTTAAAAGGAGCTTTCAATAATTATTTAAATACTAAACTATTAAATGCTTTAGCAGTCCCATCCAATGTAGCTGCCCTCAGGAGTATGGACAGGGTAGTGGATATTCAACAGAAGGCAGAAGGGAGGTGAAGGAAAGGTCCCCTCCATTCTCCCATCCCGCCAAAGCCTTAGAATGGCTCATTTTGGCCATCTAAGTTCTTCGTCTGGGAGCACGAGGAGGACGGGCCTAGGTGGCACCAGGATACACTGCATTGCGACAGAGCTTGAGACGGCCCCTGCCTTTCCATCTGCAGAATGCCCACAAACCTCTGGCTCTAAGGTCCATTTTCTGGCATCAGATCAACAGCCAGCCTGGAAGCTGTTACACTGGCCATGGAGGTGCATGGAGGGCACTGTAAGTCTGGAGTCCCAGCTTTGGCCGTGGGGCATGTTTCTGAGGTTGCAGCTGGAGTTCCAGCCTCTCCTCTGGTGAGCTAGACTTGGTGAACAACTGCTACAAAGGGTCTCCTAAGACTGCTAATCTGTAGCTTCTTTGTTTTAAACCCCTGAACCCTGATGCAGCAATCTGCAGATTTTGGGTGCCTTCCCTAGCCTGCTAGCAGATGTGGAAATACCTATAGTACTTGCCAATACATACTGTATGTAATCTCCTACCCACCACCATGTGGAAACGCATGTGCAACCTTAGCCTCCAGGAAGGGGGAGGCAGGGCAAATCCCCTGGGAAGTTTTCCCAATGGCCTCTCACTCATCCTCCCCCCACCCCATTTCAATCTAGTTGACACCCCCAAAAAACAGCTGGAGGGATTGTGTTTGCACTTTTTATACGTGAAGGGCACCTGTCAGGTTCTGGGGATTAAGGCTTAGGTGTTTAAAACACTTTCCATTCAGGGCAGTGGGGGCTTTCCCTCAAATTTGATTTGCAAAAGGTAATTTTAACAGTAACTAATCTTGCAAGGCAAGATACAACCTCATGCACACTGACTTGAGGAGAAAATCCCAGTGAACTCAGTGGGACTCATCTCCAGGTAAATATACATTGGATCAGACTGCAAAGTGCTTGTTTTAATTCCTCAAAAGCAAAATGAATAAATTTAACAAGATTTCAGAACAAAGTTCCCTCCCTTTTGAAGCATTTACTTTGCTCTAGGTGTGGCTGGCATCCAGACTCTGATTAATTAGTCCTAATTACATTGTTTTTCAAAGAGAAGCCAGCAAATCATGTCCCTTTAACACATGTTCATTATGTTCTGAAAAATGTTGTCTATTGAGTGTTAGAATTCCCAGCTTGTCTCTCATTGTTTGCATGAATATATACAATTCTCTCTCCTCTTCCCACCTAGGAAAGGTTGTTAGCTTATCACTAGTAAGAAACTAAAGTGGCAGCTGGAAATCACCCTACCTCAAATGTGCCGGCTTTGAGTAAAGACACCTGGTCATGCTGTGACAGCTCCTGGAAGCCAGGGATGTGCTTTGCAAATTCTACAACCTCTCGTACGGCAGGAGTGAAGCTCAGTGAGAAATCCTCCCAAATTTCCTGGACTGTGCGGCCACTGCGGCCATGCGGGTGGCAATTCATAGGACATGCCTGTCGGAATGAAAAAATAGCCACGTGAGATGAGGAGCCAAGGGGTGACGGCTGCTGGAGCACCTCAGCAGCTGTGCCAGCTTGCCGAGAAGAGGCCTCTGATCCCCCCACTTTTGCTGCCCTTGGACATTTGCTCCCCGTCCCCCACAGCCCTGCCACCCACAGCCATGCATTCCACTTTTCTACCCAAGGAATGACCCAACTGAGCTACTGTTGACTCCCACCCTGCTAATTCTCTGGAATCATGCTTCATGCACCAACTTCCATAGCCTTTCTGTGGTATATGATAGCACCCCAGCTGCAGAACAGCCCAGTTGTGAAGTGGAACTGTGGCTGAGTTCAGCACTACCTTAGGTAAACAAATCCTGCTTTTAACACAGGAGTGGTAGTGGACCAAGTTTTGACTCCCCACGGTTTGCTTTTTCAATGGATGAACAGGTGAATGCCTCCCTGTGGAGGCAGTGCTGCAGCTGAAGGTTGGGGATGTTGCGCACAGACCCTGAGGTTTCCCTGGAAAAGGTCTGCGTGGGCTGCACATGTCATCCTCCAGTGTTCTCCAGCATTCACCAAAGTTGCTTAAGGATTGCATGAAGACCAAGCCTCATTGCCACTGTCAACAGGAGGTTATCATTGCAGTGGGTTCTTTGGAGAGATTTTCTACAAGAATGAAATATACCAGTCCCTGCCTCTCCTGCATGCAGCCCTCATGCAAGTTTGCACAGAAGAGGACGGATGAGCTGGTTCACGCTGCGCTTCCTCCCATCCCTCTCTAACATTCCCAAACACACATGTATGGGTGCACATGGGCAGAAGGCACCACGGCAGGAGGAGATCCTCAGCTTGTGGGTCACCAAGATGCTAAGCTTATTCTTTATTAATTCGCATGGGTGATGCATGAGATATAATCACGTGTGTGCACACCCCAGTTCCAAACCCGTTCACTGGGAAATTAGCCAACACCCACTGAGTTCAGGGAGAAGCTATTTTTAATGCCTTGTCAGGATTGCAGCTTTGTTTGCTTGCATGAATGGGCAGATATTCATGTAATAAAAAATTCCAGCTGCTTTTCATTGACGAGCCCAAGACAAAAGTACAGGATTCAACACAGCAAGAGAATAAATGACTGCGAAGAACAAAAGGTAGAGCAAAAGCCCTCCATAGACAGGTCCAGAAAAGCGGGAAATGAGTGAATAAGGGATGTGGCAGGTTTCAAAAGACAAAGTAACTGAGACAAACAAAGATCGAACTCAACGGTTGGGAAGGTTGGGCTGGTAGCAGAGTGGTTGAAGGCCCTAGTCCAAATCGTGCCTTTCCCCAGCCAAGCCACTGATGTCCCTCCCAGGATGCTAAAGCAAGTTGGCTACAAGGGGGCAGGGGGTCCTCTTAGGAAACGTGAAGGCAGTTATACCTGCCCAGACACTGAAGAAACCTCGGCAGACAAATGGCAGCTGAGGACTGAGCATGCCTTGGTGGCCTGACACTTACCAAGAGAATGTCTCGGGGCCCACTTTGCGGCAGGCAGCCTTGTCCAACGGAGGGATCTGTCGACCCAGAAGAATAGCCCGAGGGGCAAAATCGATGTCCATTGATGTTGTTCTGCTGGCAAGTGTAGTTGGGCCCCGTGCCCGGGTTCCAGTTGTCATTCTGATGGCACAGCCCATTGCTGTGGTAGCCATTGGTCAGCCAGTTGTCCTCCCAGCTGGGAGAGTTGTTGGTCCCGGCGGGTGGTGGTGGGGCCCCCGTAGCCAGTTTGTCATGAGCATAAACAAAAATCTCCTTATGGGCTTTGGCCACTTGTGAGATGACATCCTCCATGAGATCACCAGGACTTGGGGAGCGTGGGGGCGTCAGCTGCTGGGAAAACTGGGAGAAGCAAGGGGACCCCTGGGGCGGTGAGGCTGCATGGGGTGGTGGGGAACAGGGGGCCAGCTGAGGCTGGTGGCACAACAGAGGGTTGGTGGGCTGGGGATGTCCCGCAGGTAAGCTCTCAGGCGGGCACTGCACGCTCAGCTGGTTGTTTGCCATATTGTTCATAGCGCTCTGCATCTCTGCCAACATCCGTTGCTTCTCGCGCTTGGGGATGCGCCCAAAGCGGACAGCTGGAGGGGAGAGGGAAAAGGGAGAAGAGCACGTGAAGCGTTAGGAGGGCAGGCAAGGATGGGGCTGCGTAAGAGCAACATCTTGGCTCTTCCCAGAGAAAGGGCAGGCAGCGAGGGGCCCGGAGGCCTCGCTCGACACGGTGCCGCAGAGACACGAGGGCCCGGCTCTCTCGCACCCCCTCTCCCCCTGCACACGTTCCTGCCGGGCCCTAGAGCCACTGCAGCAACTAATTTTGGGGAGACTGTGGGGCGGATGTCGTGGGGAGCTCACGAAGCAGCAAGAGCTGGTGGCGAACTGTGAGGACGCGCCAGCGCGACGCACAAGCAGGCCGCTGCGCCTGCCGGCCCCCCCGCGTCTCACGCGACAAGGACTCACCGTCACGGGACATGCCGACCCCTAGACACTTCTTGAAGCGGCACTGCTGGCACCGATTCCGGTTGATTCGGACGATGCTGCAGGTCTCGTTTTTGAGGCACTTTTTGTACTGGATGTTTTGCTGAATGCTGCGCCGGAAGAAGCCCTGGAGTGGGGGTGGGGGAAGCGGGGAAGCAGGTTAGCTTCGAGGCCTGGCCGTGAGGGGCCCACGGCTGAGGCGCAGTGCCAGCGCGTGCCTGACTCTGAGGGCAGTTGCCTGGGACCTTGCGCTGGAGGGAGGCTGGATGCTTCCGAGTGGCCAAGGGCTCAAGATTTCCCCCATGTCCAGCAGTGCCCGGTCAAGTGCCTCGCTCTCTTCTGGCCTTTCGCCTGGCTACAGAGGAGGGAATCCCAAGGCCGGCCCAAATGCCTCTCAGCGCCTGGCTGGTGCTACTCGACTGTCCTCCCCCACAAAGCAAAGCGAGGCAGCCAGTTCACACAAGACGCTTTCGGTGCTTGAGGAATGGCAGAGCAGGGGGCAGACAGAGCTGCCCGTGAGGCACAGCGCACCAGAAAGCGCCTGGGTGTCCTTGGGCAGCTCCCACTCGCACTGATGGCTTGTGGAAGAAAGATTCTGGTGGACTGTGCATCTGCAGGCGTGGAGAAGGGAAACCCTTCAGGAATTTCTGCTTGACACACCTGGGTATCACAGGGCTTTCTGCCTGAGGCCTAGTTCCATCCCCCTCACCAGCCTAGTGTCCTCCAGATGGTCTGGATTACAACTCCCATTAGGAATGATGGGAGCTAGAGTTCAACCCAGCTGGAAGGCACCAGGTTGTCAAAACTTTGAAGCCTCACAATTTCTCAACAGAGAGAAAGAGAGAGAGGGAGAGAGGGAGAGAGAGAACGCACTCACCTTGCAGCCTTCACAAGCATGGACACCATAATGGAACCCCGAAGCGACATCCCCACAAACTTTGCACAGGAGGACCATCCCATTGAGTTCTGAGAGAGGGAGGAGAGAAACGGGGGCAGGCATGAGGCTCCCAGCCCAAAACTAGTTCTGCTGCTCTGTGGTTTCCAGGCCCCCCACCCAAAGGTTTTAAAAACAGCCCAGCCACCCAGCTGGCTCTGACGAAGTTGGGCAGCACAGCAGCTGCTAGAGAGCGGATCTAAATGGTCCCCAGAGGACAGGCCTGGTTCCAAAGCAGGACATAACCTACAGGAGGAGCCCTGCTGCAGCCCTCAGAGCCACGGCCACCTCCCTGGCAGTGCTGACTGCAGCGTCCCCAGTCCGTGCCCCCGACCCCTCACTCACTTGTGATGCTGCTGGTGCTTTTGGCAGGGGAGGGGCGCCTCCCGCCATCCAAGGCCGTCTGCAGCCCTGCTGGGGACCCTCCAGAACTGTACGATGAAGAGGAGGAAGAGGACGAGGAGGAGGAGGAGGAGGAGGAGGAGGACGGGGAAGCGTCATCACGCATTCCAGTCACACTCCCCAGACGTCCAGAGTCTTGCACCAGAGATCCCGTGGGTGACGGAGGAAAGTAGCTGGGAAAGGTGGGCTGTGAGGACAGCTGGCAGCTGCCGTTGGAGCTGTCACTACCACAGAGAGAGACTGGACTGGTGCAGCTCGGTGAAGACCCACTGGAGCCGATGTAGCTGATCACACCCCCTGCAGAAAGCAAAGAGATCCCCTAGAACCGGTCCGGCTGCAGAGCCATCAGGATGGGTGGGCAGGCGCCCAACGGCCTGTTGGCGCCAGCCAGTATGACATTCTTCTAAAGTGGGGTGTTCAAATCCAGAAAGTCTCCACTGTCATTAAGCAAGGTAGGTTTCTAGTCCTCACTGTTGCTGATCATGGCCTGGCAACACAATTGTACCCAAGTTTAAACACTGCAGAAGTATGCGGCTGTTTGTGGATGTTTTTGTAGTTAGAGAGAGGCAGGTGATTTCAAGGACACTGCAGGAGGTCAAAGCAGAAAAGAGACCCATCCTATTTCCAGTTTTAAGCAGGGAAGCCACAGTGCAGCTCACACAGAGCTGAAAAGTACCGTAAAGCCTGAAGGAGCCCTATTCGAAAGACACATTCCACCAGCATATGAGGGTACACAATCCAGACTACAATCAACCACTATACAAACTCGGCACTGGAATTTATTTATAAAGGAATTGAAAATAAAATATTGAGTATCATATACATATTGAGCCACGATAAATCACCATTTACTGATGGCTTGATGCCCTGCCCTTCCATATACGTATTTCAAAAGCTGCTTAGGATAACATTTAGGGGACTGTGTACCATTCTGGTTATTCCTTCTCAAAAGGGTACCATAGGACTAGAAAAGATAATCATAATATTCTTTTAAAGGGCCTCAAATGGTAGAACATTAAAAAAAAAAAGAGGCAGGCTTCTGTTCAAACAGGAAAACAAGATCATTTTGAAGACAGTACAGGAGCAGAAGGAGAAAGAGATCAGGCAGAGATCAGAGATTAAAGCAGTCTTCCTCAAGTTGGCATAGGCTGGGGATTAAGGAAATTGTAGTCAAGTACATCTGGAGGACACCAGGTTGGGGAAACTGGGTTAAATGCTTGGAGTACAAGAAAGAAAAGGGTAACTGATCTTGCAAGATTAACCTTTTAGCTTATACAAAATGACTACTAAAATATGATGGTAGGGTTTTTAACATTTTGGATGAAAGAAAAGGATTCTCTTCCACAATATTAGCAGGGGGAAAAAGGTGCAGTGCAATAAGCACTTACTGGGCAGCTATTGCAACACTGACTCAGGCAAATGAGCCAAGCTGCGTGCTGCAGAGCATTCATAAAACAAGTTCTCTCACACGCAAATCCATCCAACAACTGGGCTGGGATAAAATTCCTTCCTTATTCCAACTATCCTTGAGCAGGAACAGATCCAGGGGGTCATAATTAAGTGAAACTTCAAAAGAGCAGCATTGCTTTGCTGGATTAGGCATCCTGGGTTCTATTTCCAGCCATGGTCAGACAAACAATCCTGGCAACCCATGTGCAGGGGCAACAGCCAACAGTCAGGAATGCTGTAACCTCAAAAGCCCTTCACTAAACATGGGGCTGGACTAGATGATCTCTAAGGTCCCATCCAACATCTATGAATTTTTCCCTTGCTTCTTACCAGAGGATCAATTATGCAGGATACTGCTTCTGAATAGCCACATATCCGATAATCTTTCTCCTTCCGTTTTGGTGGCTGAACATGCCCAGGAGAAGCAATATGCCTCCTCTCCCCATGCCCGAGATTCTATATTCATTTCTTTCTATACCTTTCTGTAAACCACCAAACTGTTCTCCCCTCCCCAACATCCGTCTCGCTCTCTCTGTGTGTGTCTCTCTTTCACACACACACAGAAGAAAGGAGTGGGAATTAACAGTTCAATCACACTGCCAACACGTGAGTTTTTAGAGTCACATGAGATAAAAGGAGAAAAACAAGTGGGCACGCAGGATCTGTTCCTAGGACGCGTGCAAATCTTGTGAGCAAAACTACAGATAAGAGAATAAAAACGAAGCAGTCTGCTGCACGGGAATTATGTGGATGGGGGGGGGTTCTCTCCCCAACACACACCTGATAAAAGGTCGTAAAGTCCAACCCCATTTAATTGGCCATAGCTGCAAGCTCTGAACTCATCTTGCCAAAATTCTTCTCTTGCAATCCAACTTTCTGTTTTCAGTTCCTGACCTACATCTCAAAGCTGCAAAAGGGAAAAACACTGAGTGAGTGACAGGGTGGGTGAGATGACTGAAGAGGAAGCAGTAGGTGGCCAGGAGGTTGTTGAAACAAGAGTGGAAGTCAGAAAAGATCGCACCCCCTAAGTTGGAGAGGGTGGTTAAGCCCAAGTCCTGGAAACAAAGCACTGCAGGCCTTGGAGTTGGGCCACTTGCCAAGGGGCAAGCACTGCAGGAAAAGCCTTGAAGAGGTAAAAACAAAGCGATCCGTGCCAAAGGAATTCTAAACAGGGTCACGTGCAGAAGCCACGCTCAGTGCCCAGCCAGGCTTTCAACAGAGCCGTGGCCGTGACTTGCGAGGCTTCATCTCCACTGGCTGGTGGCCTCCGGCTAATGACCTTCCTTGTATGTGGCCCGAGCACCTGGAATTGCTTGCTTAGCAGGTACTAAAGCAAACAAGCTCAGGTATTACTCGACATACAACCACCTTCCTTTTATCCAACACCCAGTAGGAATAGCTGGGCACTTGCCCGTGCTGGCCCAACCCATCCTGGCACCAGAGGCAAGCAATCCAAATAATCCCCCCACCAGCCGTTAGACAGATCATCTGTTGTCTGGGGAGGGCGTTTCATCTTGCCTCAGGAAAGGGGAGGCGCTGCCAGCACCCAGCCACCCAGGGCAGAATCCTACAGCTGGGGCGTTGAATCCCACACACTTTTACAAGGGGCACTACTCCTTTCCATCCCAAACACACACACGGCCCCTCTTGCCCAGGATCAGGCCATTCCCCAGAAAGAAGGATCCCCTTTAGCCCCTGCTTGCTTTCAGAATATTGCAGGGGGAGAAATCCCGCCTCCACTTAATCTGGCGCACGTCCTCTGGGGTCCCTGGGTCTGACCTGGCCTCAGTTGCGCCTGGCTGGTTTGGCAAACTGCACCACCCTCACTCTGCTGCACTGCACAGACTGAAGCCGTCTGCCTGCACATTAGCTCTCTCTCAGGGTCCAGTGCAGCCAGGGTTTGAATTAGAGCGAGCACAGAAGCAAGGGGGCTGTTCTCTTTCTGTCGCTGGCTCCTACAGCCACAGAAAATGAGATAATGGCAAGAAGTCTTAAGGGTAGTCCAAAGGCTGACAACAAACTTCGGCCATACATCAGAGGACGACATAAACCAACCACCTAGTTATCAGAACTTATCCTTATAGCAATCCTACCAACAATAGGGTTAATCTAGAACTCTGCAGTACAGCCATCATGAGGACAGGGGTCGCGGTGACCTCTAGGGCTCTCATCAAGCTCTCTCAGAGAGTTTGCAACACTGCGTGCGAGGATCACACATCCAGGGCCAGCATCCCGAGTCTCACCTGGATCTTGCCTTGGAAGGGTGTCCAACTCCAAGGACACTCCCACTGCCCCCATCCTAATCCCATACATTCTGTATTTGCAACAGGGACATCTTCCAGTCAGTTTCAAATGCTACACAGCCATACAGCAGTCTGCAAGGTTATCAAAGGCAGCAATGTCCAAGAGGGTAGCCAAGTGCTTTTAATTGGATGCAGATAATTCAAGTCTACACCTAAGAGCCTCTTGGACTGCATAGGCCTGGAAACCAGCCAAGTATCTGGCATAAGCCAGGCATGATCATCCTGTCTGGTTTCTGAATGTGCTCCTACACATCATCTCACTAGTAATCTCTTTGGCACCAGCATTCTTTTCTTTTTGGTGCTGACCTCTCCTGAAAAACTATTTCACAATTTCCCACTTTTCTTTTTGCTTCTTTTAACAGGTGAGCAGCAGAGTTTCGAAATCTAGGTCCAAAGGGTGGTGCAGGGAATCCTAGTGGAGGAAGGCATGTCCTTTTTACAGCCTTCCCGCCCAATTCGGGGCCTTCAACCTTGCATGCATTATTAAATATAGACTGTGTTGGGAAGATGATTATCCGAAGTGGGTCAAAAAGGACAAATAAAAACTTGCTAGAAGGCACAAGCAAGGGTGGAAGTTGCGTGCAGGCCAAGTTGGAGATCTGCCAGATGGGTGTGAAAAAGGCAAAGTGTGTCATGCCTGCTTGGGATGCATGCCACCAGCATTTAGTCTCCCAGAAAGGAGGACTTGGGAGAGGCTGGAGATGCACGTGGAGGCTTTTGCTCCACGTGGTCTTTGACAGCAAAGCCACCCCTTGCTAGTTTGGTCACCCTGTAGGAATACAGGCAACACAAATGGGTCTCCATGGAAGCTTGCAGCAAAGATGACACTGAATGCTACGCTAAAGCTCCCGTACCCAAACACCACCATGTTGAGCAGAAATGCAGAGTGACTAAGCCACACAAAGAACAGGTAGCATGGAATCCGGAGTTCAAGACTGGGGAAAGATCCCCTTCTATGGGTTGGACCAGATTTAAAGCCAATGGTGATCTCCACAGGAGGAGAAAACAGGATCTTCAGAGCCAAGAGATGGCTTAGCCCATTTATGAACTGCAAAAATAACAACATCAACAAACAGAAATGTGGAACTCTTTTATCACCCAGACTCTTGAACCAAGATGATTGGATTGCTACAGACCTCACTACATTCTTAACCCAATCATGCGTTCAAAACGAAAAAACCAAATGTATTCACAAATGGCATACACAAGAAAGCTCAAGCCAGGAGAAATTGATTCCCCCCACCCTCTCTCTCTCTCTCTCTCTCTCCTCTCTCTCTCTCACTCACACACACGACAATCCTATACACAATTATTTGGGAAATATGCCATTCTGAGTTCAGTGGGCATTGCTCTAGAGTAAACATTCTTTGAATCGGGCTGCATTTCTAATACCAAAAACCAGAAAATTGCAAGGAAATCTACTATTCCAACTCATACAAGGGCTATTTCCTTTTCTGCTTTCTCATTCCCAGTCACTTTCCCTTTCAAGGGAGCCCTACCTCTGACCTGATTTCATAATCACTAAATTGTGTCGATAGACACAGTTCAGTTGGTTGTATGGAAGGTATTTCACTTGGCAGTTCTCTTGCCAGTATCTTATACAGAGCAAGTAACAACTAACAGAAGAACACAGCAGCAGACATACAAGATCAGATATACAAAAACATGAAGAGGAGCCAGTGTGGTGTAGTGGTTAAGAGCATGGGACTGGGACTCAGACGATCTGGGTTCTAGTCCCGGCTCAGCCATGGAGCCAATTGGGTGACTTTGGGCCAGTCACAGACTCTCAGCCTCACAGGGTTGTTGTGGGGATAAGATGGAGGAGGAGAATGATGTAAGCTGCCTTGAGCCCTTTGTAGGAAAAAGACAGGATATAAATTGAAAAATAAATAAATAAAAATAAAACCAGTACCTAAGGTCATCTAGTCATCAAAATGCTCAGGCAGCACTGTTGGGTCCCACAACATTCTTTCACAGACAGGAATGACTCCTGTGTAACTAGAAAACTTACTCCAGCACTTAAAACCTTCATCAGTGAAAATAAAAATGTGTTTCTTAGTTTTCTGCTTTTTACTACTCTTTTTAAAAGATAGTAACATTGGGCACATGTTCTCTGACAATTGGGTTGTGATTTGCTACGTTCAAGCAAAAAGGCACCTACACATTCTCAGAGGCACTGCATTGCTGGCCTGATCTTTTTTTTAATGGAATTGGGCCCAAACAAAAGCACATGTTCAAAGCATCCTTGCCCTTATAGTGTTGTTGTTGTTTTTTTAACTACCGATTTCTGCATTTTTGTTCCCTTTGGATGAATCACCTTCTGTAAGTCCCCAGAGATACTGTATACAAACTGCTACAATTACACTTTTAGTCACAAGCAAAACTGGCAGGGGAAAGGGTGGTATAGTGGAGAATGAAATAAGTAAACAGGGAAAAAATGGAAGACGTCCAGGTGCTGGGATGGCAGAGTTCCCTAATTCTCAGGTCAAATCAGGCACAATTTAGAGTGCAGAGGCAAGCAAACTTGGGCAGGGTCGAACTCAGTCACTTGGTACTCAGGCCCCATCAGTTATCCGTCCACGATCATCACATCCCAAACACCTAGCACCGCTCCCTACCCGAAGCGTGACTGTAAGCTTGGCGGGTCAGCCAGATCGCTTCCACGTGTCCCTTTGGCACATGGGACCCTCTCCTTTCGCGGCACTGCCCATCACGCTTTACCCCACCCTTTGCCTGCCAATTGGCTCCAACTGCCCCCGCCCCTTGCTAGGCAGGTCCCATCCGATATTCCCACCCAGCAGGGAGGTCTCAGAGCGTTCGCGCTTCCTGGATGGTGACGTTCCTCGAGGAGGCGTACTTGGCGAGGCAATGGCGGAGGGCTGACCAATGAGAAATGTTGGGCGGGGCCGGTAGGGAAAACAAACTTCGCACGTGGCTGAGCCGGGCAAGAGGACACGTGAGAGCCTCAATGGGGAAAACTCGATGGGGAATCCCAGGAAGGGTGGGATCCCAGAGAATGGATGGCTATGCGATTCTAAGCGGGGGCTGGAGGGTGACAGAGAGATACCTGGAGCCAGTAATGAAAAGGTGGAAGCAAGATCCTAGGTGTACCATAAATATGGTAGGGGGCAACGTCTGAATGAGATCACCGGGCGTTCCCACTCCCTCAGAGAGATTTTCAGAGGAAAACATCATATAATCGAGGCTCACACTGGAAGCAAGGCACACCTTCCTCTCCTCCAACTGCCCTAATTCCCTCTCCTCCGCCCCTAAGTCAAAGGACAAACGCGTCGCCTGCGGCGTCTAGTGGCCCGGACACTTGTCTCCAATCTTTCTCTGCACAACGAAAGCTGACCTCTTTTCCTGAAACAAATACCTGCACTCCTCTACCTGATCCCCAAGGGGGAACCTACAGTAAAACGATGAAAAACGAACCTTCCTAACTGGGCTAAATATGGAAGAGGGAAGCAGGATAACGTAAAGAAAAACGAAGCCGCAAATGGGGCACCCCTTTGGCTCTCCTCCAATTCCAACACCCGACACTTGCCTCTGCCCTCCTACATGCCGCTCAGGACTCTATCGTTGCAAGAAGGAAACTTCGCGTCTCGAGATAAGCTTTTACGATATTTGGGAGGTGGGACGCCCTCCTGGGGAAGCCTTGCCACACTTTCTTCCACCAATAGCAGAGGTGTTGGGGATCACATTGGGGATCGCTCGGTTCATTACACGCACAGCAGAGAGAGGAGGTCACGATTCAGAAAGAGATGTGGCGCAAGGTGACGGAGAGGGGGCGATACGGTGGCTTTCCCCAGTGCAGGAAAGATAATCCAACCACAAAAGGCAGGGGCTTACCTGGGGCGTTGTTGTTAGTATCCAAAGTTGCCATCCTGTTCAGCTGACAGCTGTCATTCATGTCTAGCGATGAGACGAGCTGAGTTTCAGTTGGCGAGGAGGGAGGGGAAGCAAAAAGGCTGCCCCCTTCTCCTCCTCGTTCTTCCTCTTGTCCCCCCAAAGTTATGAAGCAAAGCAAAAGCCAGTCAGTTTGCAATAAATGCTAGTGGAAATCTGCCTTAAAAATGTGTTTGCATTAAGACCCAAGTGCAGAGAGGAAGGAGCGCAAAGTTGGCTAAGTGGGTGAGGTATCTCTCCCCAGACTGGAGCTTCCCTGTGCCGCTGCCTCTCCCTTCGCCTGCAAAATGTTACTCTGCCAGGGTTCACTCACTGCCGTCTCCTCTGTGCCTGCAGCTGCGCAAACGCCAGCACGCGGCACTGGAGCATCCACCATGTGACTCCTAGGGAGAGCCTCGTGCCCCAGTGACACACTTTCTGATGCTGCTGCAGCAACAGCAGGCACATTGCACTGGGCTTTCGCATTTGGCGCAAGGGTTGCAGGGAGTCGTAGTTTCCCTGGACAGCGCCTTTTTTGCGCGTGCGTGGCTGCTGCATTCCTAGGGAGTGACTTTGATTATTATTCCTTTCCCCCGCCCCGCAGCTTTCTCTCAGAGATCAAAAGAGGCTGAGTCTTTAAACACACAGAAAGGGCTAGGGCGGTGTGCCCGAGGGTGGGGGGGAATATCCCTGAAAAACGTGATGCTTTAACGTGATGTGTGGAAAGAACGTAGTCTCAGCCACAGCAGGCTGCCAATTTAGGGCTTGGCAAAGAATCATGCAGGAACGGGAGTGAAATCGGGGAACCAGTGCTTTTCAAAACAAGAGCAAGTTTTTCCCCTTAGGGCAGGTAATGCTTACTCACTTTTTCTCCCAAGCTCCCCCCGCCCCCCGCCAACACACACACGTTCCAGCCCTCAATCTGCTTTGGAAACCAGTCTTGATGGAAGCGTTCTGAAATTACTCTTAGCACTGGGTAGTAACCCTTAATGTATCTGAAGTACTTTCTTGACCTGACAGCGATTGTAGGTAAAGAATGATCAAAGGGGATGTGGGACGCCTCGGACCCATGGGATAGAATGATTCTAAACTGCGTGTGGGATCATGGATTCCAAACCAGGCATTAGTGGTTTGTGTCAGACTACAGAGATCTGTATGCAGATCTTCTGTGCACCCACACACATTCGGATGGCGCAGAAATTTCAGCAGATCACTTCCAACCCTGTGCTACAGCTATCCTCACTCACTCGTTTTCTAGGACCCTACTAAATTTGATTTTGAAGGGACTCTGATCTTGAGTCATTCTTCTGTTTCTATAAAAATGCCGGCAGGTAGGAAAATAACGTTTTTATATGCAAGTTCCACTTGGTTCAGGAATGTGCTCACACCTGCTTTTTTACTTCTAAAGGTTAGGTGCCCCCTCTCCTAGAGGCTGAAGACAGTCTGACATCCACGACATAAAACCCAACGGTCACTAATTAACAAGGAGCATAATCCACAAAGAAGTTCTTTTCCCCATGTCCCATGGAAATAAATAGGAATTATGCAGGAGTTTGGACTTGGGAAGAAAAAAAATTATTTGTTCCATAATATGACTGTAATGGATCCTTTGTATGAGGGATATCTGTTTAAAGGAAATCAGTTAAACTGTCTAAATGTGCCAGTGTAGAAGCAAACATTTAGATTAAGTGTGTTCTATAAGTGAGGTATCTGTATTATTTTTACTATTATCTTAAAATGCATTCTCCAACTCGTACCTTCAGATATTTTGGAGCGCAGCTCTCATGATTCCCTGCCAGCATGACTCATCCTGGCTGGGAATGCTGGGAGTTGCATGCCAGTGCTTCTGGAGGGCACCAGGTTGAGAAAAGCTGGATTTGCACCCTTCCTTCCTTCCTGTGATGGGGGCTAGTTTTATTTCTGGCTCGGATGAAATTCACATCCTGTCCAGGGGTTACATTATGCTCCACTGTGCAGCAAAGAGGAAGAATTGCAGCCACTCATATTTAGGTCATGCAGCACAAACAGCCCTTCCTTAAGTGATGTGGCTCACCTCGATGGGACAGTCTGGAGCTGTTGCTGAGCAAGAGATGCCAGTGGCTGAAGAACAAGTCACTGACTGTGTGTAGGCAGGCTAAGCTCTACTTGCTGTGGATATGGCTAAGAGTAATCCATGCCATTTGTGACTCAGGATGGCTTTCTGTTTTCTACATCCTCTGAATTCCTTTAGAAACAAAGCAGTTAAACTAGATAAACAAACTCCCTTTTTCTAAATCTGAAGATGTGTATCAAAGAGCACCTGCTATGAATGTGTGACCCAGGGAAAGTAACACAATTCACAGCTCTTCTCTTAAAAAAAAAAAACAAACAAACCATAATCACACTTACTATTTATTTAGTACATTTCGAATATTCAAAGTACCTCCCACACATTATTTCAGTAACTCTGCACAACAGTCTTGTAGAGCAGGGCAGTGCTTGATCCTCACATTGCAGGTAGAGGCTGACACTGAACAAGTGGTGGTTAGCCTACAGTTCTCTCATGTATTTGTGGCTGAGATGAGTCTTGAACCAGAACTTCTCAGACGGATGATATTCTGAGCTATTTATGCGGCTGCTACCTCATATATAGGAGAGGTGCAAAACCTCAGGCACCCGATAGACCGGCTAACACTGGAAGCAAGTCCAGAGATTGCACATGTGTTTGAAAAAGGTGCATATTGGCATGTCTGCATGTGCAGACATGTACATGTTGAGGCAAAGTATCATTTGCATGAACTATGGTGATACCATATAATTACAGGAACATTCTTCTGATATGACAGGCAGGTATTGATCAACTTAACTCCGTATATGGCTTGGGACCAGATTGTCTTATGGAATGTGTGCCTATTAACATTTTCCTCAGGGCCTTGCCTCCTAGGCAGGGAGGATGCAGGGGATGAGCCAAGGCAGGGCCTTTTTCATTGCCCTTCCCACTCTCTGGAATGCTCTCCCCACAGTGACTGACCTGGCAGCAGTCCTGCTGTTTCTAGCATGCCAGAGAAAGGTTTTTTGTTATTTGTTCTTTTAAAGGCATGGAATATTATACTGTCTCAACCATATATTGCTGTTATATTTTATTGTAAAAATAATTTTGTTATTTTTTCAGAGAGGTTTGAAACACACATCCCTAGAGTAAGCCCTGCTGGATTCAGTGGGACTTACTTCTGAAGAGGCATGCCTAGACTTTGTACTGTTATACATGGAGAAAAGGTGTTTAAATTAACTAGGTTGGATCCAAACTTAGCTGCAGGCAACTGAATTGGCAGAAACAGACTTTTTCTCAACCTCCTCCCCATGGAAGCTGCTCCAGCCACCTGAAAATGCTGCACAGGGGGCTGGGATCCTGCTGAATGGAATAATTGGTAGGAGAGGGCGAGATCCTTCTGTGAGCAGAGCCCTTCTGCCAACAGAAGACTGATCCTTGCTCAGCCCACCAGATAGGATAAACTGCCATTATGTAAGGGAATGGTGGGTTCTGCATGACAATGAAGACAAAGGAAGTGGCTTCATACCAGAGGAAGGTAGTAGCCATTGCACTGAAAGGCAACACAACAGAGGCAGAGGTGGTGTTAATGTCTTCCTTCCAAGCTGAAAGGCCAAGCAATGCCACAACCTCTTTACCTGAAACAGTTTGCTCATCTAAAAGTGCAGACCACAGTCTGATTGAGAGTTGACCAATTCATGTACCAGGCATACTTGTGAGTAGGAAAGTGGCCTGGAACAGGAAACGCTAACCCGTGTGACCTGCGGAGTTGCCTATCATCATCATCATCATTATTATTCTGCCTATGCCCAGTACACTCAATCCAGCTTGCAACATTAAAAGATGTATACAACTAAAACATTAATAGAAATATACAAAAGTTAAAAATAATCAAATTTGCTATTAAAATTACATTAGTGCCCAAATTAAAACAGCAATAAAAACCATATAACCAACAGAGCTGCTCCAATGCCATCTCACAGGTCCAAAGAATTCCCAAAGGCCTGATGGATCTGAAAACTTTTTGCCTGCTTTTGAAAGCATAACAGGGAGGTCCCCAGTCTAGGTCCAGACCATGTGGTACTCATGGAGAAGACTGTCTTCTGTATTTCCACTATGTACAATGGTGGAGGGGTCAAGAGCAAGGCCTTCCCTAAAACTCTTCAAGTAAAACAGACTCATAAAGGAGAACCTGAGTCTCAAGTGACAAAGATGGGTCAAAGAGTCCCCCAGCTACAAACCTGCTCCTTCAGGGGGAGTGTGACCCCATCCAGAAAAGACTGGACACCCCCCCCCCCCCAAAATCTGGTCAAAGGAATCACGCACCACAGCATTTGTCTTGTCTGGATTGAGTTTCAGTTTGTTAGTCCTCATCCAGCCCATTATCATATCCAGATATCGCTTTAGCACATCCATAGCCTCACCTATGAACAGTGAAAAGGAGAAACAGAGCTGCACATTATCAGTATACTGATGGCAACACACTCTAAAGCTCTAGATGATCCCATGCAGGGGTTTCATATAGATGTTAAATTGCAGGGGGACTCAACAGACCCGAGCAGCTCCATGCTGGAGAATCCAAGAGGCAGAAAATATTCCCCAAGCACCACCTTCTGGAGACAGTCCTTCAAGTAAGAGTGGAACAACTGCAATGTGGGGCCCCCATTCCCATCTCAGTAAGCTGCTCCAGAAGGATGCGGCCCTTGTTAACAGGTTGAAATGATTAGGAAGGAGTTAAGGATGTGTGTGGTGACTTTGTGCATATGCATCCACAAACACACTTCTCACTTTGCACAATTTTTGCTCCAGGTGGGTAATATTTCTAATAATAACATGTTATCTTTGAGTTGCTGAGACAGGGTGTTATACAGAAAGTAACTGTGTTTATATGTTGGTAATACATTCTTTCAAAAGGCAGATGTTGTTGTTGTTGTTAGTCACGAAGTCGTGTCCAACCCCATGGACAACATTCCTCCAGGCCTTCCTGTCCACCATCTCCTGGAGTCCACTCAAGCTCACACCAACTGCCCCAGTGACTCCATCTAGCCACCTCATCCCCTGCCGTCCCCTTCCTCTTCAGCCATCTATTGTTCCCAGCATTAGGCTCTTCTCCAGGGAGTCCTTCCGTCTCATTAGGTGGCCAAAGTATATGAGTTTCATCTTCAGGATCTGGCCTTCTAAAGAGCAGTCAGGATTGATCTTCGCCAGGACTGACCGGTTTGATTGCCTTGTGGTCCAAGGGACTCGCAGGAGCCTCCTCCAGCACCACAGTTCAAAGGCTTCAATTCTTCGGCGCTCAGCCTTCCTTATGGTAAGGCAGATGAACCATAGTGAAATGAGACTAAATTCGCTTAAA